CTGGGTGCATTTCTGCTTGCAGGTAAGTAGAAATTTAGTAATCCAAAATATTGTCACCTACATGTTCTGGATCCAGAAAGTCCCATTTTACTTGGCATTTTAATTATTTGCTGAGGACAACAGCAGAATAAAACTTACAGCACATTTTTCCGCGTGTAATTCACAACTAGATTTGCGTTCAGCTCTCTGCTGCTCCTGAATGATGAAACTTTTTTCGTTTTTTTCAGCTGTTGTTTTTGCATTCTTGTGATTCTATTCTGTTTTTCCTTACATGGTGTTCATCTACGATCTTAATTATCTGCCTCTCATTGCCAACTCTGTGAACTCTGAAGCTAATTTGAGAAGGAAAGTTCTGCCTGGTAATTTTAAAAATATGAGGCATTATTGAGGGTTTTTCCTGGACCAGTGATTACAATAAATGTGTAGTTTGGAAACGTAGCTTTGGATTCTTCCTGCTCACTTGAAGAGATTGGGAATTGGGTGAAACCTATTCTCATTAAAACCGAATAGATGAATAGGAAAGGGACGTCCTTCTCCTCTCTCCACCGTGAGTACTTGATTTCCCCAAGTTATGGGTTGAGCTCACAAGAAACCCAGAAGGAGCAAGGATTCTGCATCTGCAGTGATTATGTATTAGCAGCGTCTTGCTTCTGCAGAAGGTCGGTGGTGGGTTTGGAAGCCTGTGAGAGGTTGGGCTGGGAGTTGCTCCTTCAGTAGTTTTTCCCAAGTGGTCCTTCTTCTCAGACCTGCCACGTGCGGCTTGAGATCTGCATGTGCACTGTGCGTTTTGTTGAAAAAGAAAAACATGGCAGGTGCAATACACCTTTACAGAGTAAAATAGCTGCTTTTAGGAGAAAGGAAAAGAAAAAAAAAGTTGGACTGTTTCCCACCAAGGGGACATGGAGAGCAGGAATAGGGCACGTGCGTGCACAGCTCTGCTCCGAGCTTATGTGCTCGCATGCAGGTCAGCTCCGGTCTGGTATTTTTATCAAAGCATTGGTTGATGAAAGTGTTGTTCTGCGTGGGTACCGTGCCACGCTGAAATACTCAGGAGATTTTGGAGCAGATCTTTTATTCAGCCCAAGACGTATTCCAGGCAGATGCTGGCATACCTCCCTGGGCCCAGAGACTGAGCCTGGACAGCCTGAATGATGCTCTCAAAGACAAAGACACTTCTCACGACTCCTTGCGTACAGCATTTAGGTCCCAAAATACTGCCTTTGAAAACTGGATGTAAGGATGGAATTGGATAAATGTGAAAAAACACCAAGCATGGGGCTGGGAGAGAAGAAAGGGACTGAAGTGCAAGTACTACGTGGTGTTTCAGATGAGTAGTCTATAAAATATGGGATGTCGTAGTCTGTTCTGGATACCTTTTTGGTGTGGTTTCTTTCTGTTTGTTTGGGTTTTGATTTGCCTTTTTTTTCTTTTTTTTTTTTTTTTACCCAGAGGAAAACAGTATTAAAAAATAGAGTATAGAGGAGTAGTATTATCTGAAGACCTGGTAAGTTGAATAGTCTTAAATAGGTCAAATGTGGGCAACTGGGTGGTCTAAGCTAAAACTGCCACCAAGGGGAAGAAAGACTTTCCATTTTTAGGAGAATATAATACGTGAGTGGTTAAAAGATCTAGGAAGATGATGGAAGAATACACTAAGAGAAAAGGATGAAGTTATGCGCAGGAAAAATGCAGATAATATCAAGAGAGATTTTTTGGGAGGAGAAGTTTTTTATTGGAGTAGCCTCTCATGAGAGAGTCCCTAATTCTTGGGGCAGTCAAAAAAGGGCTCAAGAAAGAAAATACAGGGAACAGTGCATTGGGAGGGAGATGGTTTTGGTCAAATTGGCAGGTGTCTAGGCCGTGAATTTTAGGGAAACTGTTAAAATGTGAATATGGTCTACAATTTTTTGGGAATGGTTTCAAAGGTCTTTGCTGTTCCTTCTCTTCTGTTATAGTTAAAGCCATGTGTTGGGTTGGAACAGAGAGAACCTGGCATCCAAAACCTTCTAAGCACCCTGTGAGGCTGAAGGGGCTTCCCTCCAAGGTTGAGAGGCCAGGCTTATAGTGAATCCTTCATGCGATATCTCCAGCCCAGCTCACATCACTCTTGCTTCTTGTGTCTGTGGAAAACATTTTTTCCCTCTGAAAGTGCGATCCAAAATAGTTTAATTTTCAGAGAACATTACGAAGTCGGTCCAGATGCTTCATCTTCCTCAAAGCTATCAGTAAAAGAAGGATAGAAGCCTGGCTTGTGATTTCTTCCCAGTGAACTGAGTGATGGGGTTGGGGGTTTTGGCTCTTGGCCATGGGGGTGCCTGCTTCCCGCTGCCCTGTCCCCCGTGATCTGGTGGCTTCTGCCTCCCTCAGCACTTGGTGACCTCCACCATTCTCTGGGTGCTCCTGAGGAGCTGATGGGAAAGCGGTCACATCAAATGGAGAAGCTTTTTAATGAGGTGAACAGCTATGGGACGAGGCCTGTGGTGTCACAGGGCGATGGGAGGATGGGCAGAGCTGTGCTGGATGTGGAGCCGCGTGTGGGATGACTTCCTGGCCTTCCTTTCCTGAAGAAATGCATGGTGAGGGTGGGGTGAGCAGGAGTGATCTCTTCTCGGAGCTCAGTTGGAGGGATAAGGGAAAGTGATTTCAGCTGAACTCAATTGCTGTGGCATAGTCTTAGCAGAACTCTTCAAAATCTGGTATTAAAAGGGCTGATTGGTTTCAGACCGGCCTCCTGCTCCTGATGAACTGCTTTCCAAGTTTCCAGTAAGTCCTCGAGGTCACCACAAAATCTTGCCTGCGTAGCTTGGGGAGATGGAGCTTATGCACATTCAGTAACGGGGAATTAATTACCCACCGGCTTCCGTATGATGTTGCATAAAGCTACATGCGGTGGCTGGCGCGAGTGACCGACCGCCGTGGCGGCTGCGCTGGCGGTTGCTGCTGAGCCTCTGTGTACTCTTGCCTTTGATGGTGCTGTACATTAATTTACTAAAGAAATGGGGGAAAAAACGCCTTCAGTTTTGAATTTGCACCACGAATTAATTGGTAGCAGCGGGCTGCGCTAAGTTAGCGAGTAGCTTCACTCAAACATGGCAGTGATGCTACCAGAGATGAGTTGCTCTCCTGGTCAGGATGGAGCTGATCAGGGGTTTTTGTGCCACTTGTGTAGGTTTGGAGAGATGAGGCACAGCAGGATTTAATAAATATCTTAAGGCCGGTCCCATCAGTGGTGGGGTGGGAGTGGGACAACCCGTTCTGTCTCGGTTCTCCTGCGGTACCACCAAAATTGAGGGGACATGGGTAACCTTCCCAGGGGGAAACAGCTTCTGAGAGCATTGAGAAGACATATCACATGGAAATGCTGGTTCCCAGATAGTTTCTGTTCTGAAAAGCTTTCTTAAAATGTCAGATTACGTATAGGTTCAAGCTGATGCAGGATTGCAGGAGAAAGACTTGGATTTATACCCGATCCCAGTTTTTCCCTTGCCGGGGTATTGGTACGACTGATGGTTGGATGGACGTGCCCGGCATGGGTGAGGAGCTGCTCATCCTGTGCACCCCTGATACTCAGCTAGGATAAAAAGTATAATTCTGAGCCAAAATCATGGTATAATTCTGCATAATCTTTGCAATGCGTGTGCAAGGTCGCAAGAAGGGGTTTTTTTGATGAATTTTAGCACTGTTGGGAAGGGCAGTACTGGGTGGCAATGCTCCTGGGCACATCAGGAAGGCTGAATTTTTGCTGAAGCCTTGAGCTCCAACTTGTAGAAGACAAGGAGCAAGTCAGGCTACAGCTCCTCAAGGGTTCATTGCAGACGTTTCGTAAGACCGCTTTAGCTGAGGGCGTCCTAAGGCAGCCTGGTTGTATAATGCCATAGTAGCTGGGGAATCATTAAATTAGCATCAGGTTTTTCTTTTAATTAATTTATTTTTTTGTAGTAGAGAGAGTTGATGGCTGGTGCCTTGCTCAGGTGAGATTTGTTGTTGCGCGTTGTTTGTTTTGTGAATTCCAAATGAGAATTTTTTTTTTTTTTTTTTTCTCCCCGGAACAGTTCAAAGCAAGACCTTGTCCCTTCTCTGAAGTGTTTATAATCCAATTTCAGACATAAAACAGTGCGGGTGTGGAGGAGGGAGGAACAGGCAGGGATAAAACGGCAAGGTTTTACATAGCCTAGGGGACCGGGGCGGTAGGTGGATGTCTGAACGCTTCAGCAGGTCGATGGCATTTGAGGATCCTTACAGGTTTGTTGCCTGGGTGGGGATGCTCAGATGTAGCCTGGCTTGGTACAACAAGCCACCTACAGAAGAAGCCCCCAGAGGAGCGGTTCAGGTCCCCGCCGCAGCGCCCGGCGTGGGTGGGCGATGCCCGTGCCGGGGAACTCGGGTGTTGGGCTTTCGGGACTAACCGGCGCTCCTCTGGAGTCTCAGACTCACAGTAAAGTTGGGAAAGAATGAGCTCAGAAACCTATTTTATTTTTCCCAACAATACAGACCGGTCTCATAAATTGCTGCAACCCACTCAAGCATGTTTTTCTTAAATTCCCTGATGTTTGTCACTTTGCATCACTCTGCACCCATGAATCAGGGGAACAATTTCTGGCATTGTCTGTCCCCTCTTTCTTTTTGCTAACACTAGGAATTGGTTGTTTCACTGTCCCCACGATTAAGCAAATCTGATATTTGTCCATGTTATGGTCTGGTAAAGAAGCTGGTTGCATGCCTCCATGTACCACGTCTGCACGGCGATACTGGAAAAGGGGTACAGAAGAGTTCATTGGATACTCTTATACCTGAACAGCTGATTTTTTGACTTGGTGTTTAGAGTAAAACTCTTTGTCATCTGATATTTGAATAGAATTTTGCACAGATATGCTGGAGGAATATGAGATTTGCATCTTAAATGACATATATTTCAAGTTGACGGTAAATGCAGTATATTGCAAGTTAATGGTTAATGCACACCGTTATAATGACTTGATTTAATCTCTTCTGTTTTCCAGGGTGCCCGAGAAACCTTTGAGAACTACTATAGGAAGCAGAGAAGAAAACAAGCCAGATTGGTCCTGCAGCCACCTTCAAACATGGTACGATGGTCCCCTACCTGCAGCGCCCAAACTTGCTCCGCCAAATAAAGGAGCGGAGGGTTATCTCTGGGCACGTCGTTGCCGGTGGGTGGTCTCTAATTCATTTCCAATTGCTCTCGGTCACCTTTGTTTTAATCTTTGCTCCCTTTTTCTTTGTCGCAGCATGAAACTTTAGACGGCTACAGGAAGTATTTTAATCAAATTGTAGGGTAGGTATTCTTTTTTTATACGTCCTCGCTAAATATGTGCGCGCTGTGTTGTTGAGGAGCCCAAAAAGAAAGAGAGAGGAGGGAATGGTGATCTTTTTGAGGGTCCTTTACAGGGAGCCAAAACAGGAAAAAGAAGGTGGTTTGGGCTTTTTAAGTGTTTTAGAGTGTATTTTATAGCACCCGTGAACTTTGCTGCGTCACTAGTGGGAGCATGAAGGAACCTGCCAGCTCTTGTACCAGCAAGCGCATTTCTGGGAATTTGAGGATAAACAATCTCTGTGGACTATGTGCGTCTACTTGCCCCACTAATGAGATGAATAGGCCCTCTGCCTTAATTATTCTTTACTATTTGATAATTATTCTTTGATTATTTTCCCGGTAAAGGAGGTGATTCTCAAGCCTCTGTTCCTATGAGCTTCTTATTATTGCACTCAAATTTGACAAGAGTCTTCCAAAACCACCTGAGCTCTAAGAGGAGGCAACCTAAGACTGCTAATCTAGCAAAGATAGGGTACGATGTTGAAATTCCCTCAGCTAACAGTAATAATTTCACCGTCTAATTGCGACCATCGCAAATGCAGTCCGTGCTGCTCACCTTCTCACGCAGCTCCGTGCTCCTGGGCTGAATTTCCCCGACAAAACACAGCTGAGATTTTGTGCGTTGCTGTTTAAAAAGTACGGTGCCACACTCGCTCCCTGAAAAATACAGTTTCCTTTTGGCCAGCAGGTTTGATGACTGGAGATTGGAGTGAACTGATTGCCTTTAAATGGTTGCGAGCGTGTGGTGTATCCAGGTGTGAGAGAGTATTTTTCCCTGCAGTTAAAAGTATTTTTCCCTGCAGTTAAAGTATTTTTCCCTGCAGTTTAAGTATTTTTCCCTGCAGTTAACCAATTGTAATGCGATTGCTGCTGGCTGGAGCAGAGTTTAATCAGTGGTTCTTGTTGAAATAACGGGGTGGAGAACTTAGGGAGGGGCAATTCTGCCTTTGTGTATACAGAGTGGCGTTACTAGGAGCGACTGCGTTTTAGCTCACTTCTATAATATAGTGAGACCTCGTATAAAATACTGCGATGCTAAAACTAGGTGGATAAAGTGTTTAGCATTGGCTATATTTGATACAGATACTGCTGCAAATCTGAGCTCGCTCTGGAGATCTGTGCATGTGCAAATGCCGCGTATCCCTCGCATGCGGTGTTTGCAGATCTCTTCTCATGTCTCGAAACCTGTAACTTTTGATAACGGTGGCATTTTCTCCTCTCTGTTAGGTTTTTTGTAGTTGAAGATCACATCTTGCATACAACGCAGGGCTTGGTAAATAGAGCCTATATTGATGAGCTGTGGGAGATGGCGTTATCAAAAACTATTGCAGCACTAAGAACACATTCAGTAAGTAAAAGCCCCGGGTCGCTCAACTGTTGCTTGAGTATGACTTGACATGCTGGAAATGTTGGCTTTTAGAGTAGTATTCTTTGTTTTGCCTCTTTTCCAATGACCCTGTTTAAAACAATAACATGAAGATACACTGCTATTTCCCCAAAAGCTTTCTCCAGCTTTTTTTGCCTCTTTCCCAAACTCTCAATATTTTGGGGGACTGGAAAGAAGAAAATAGCGGTTTGTTATTTTTCCCTTTACTTTGCTGATCGCTTTTGACAAGCACCAGCAGAGGGAGTCGGTTTGTCCCAGAAAACCGCGGAAAAAATCGTCTCTTTGGCACGCCGAAGTATGACCCTGTTTGATATTCCCTCAAAGTTCATGGCAGTGAGTGGGTTGCTATCAAACTGCAAATCATTTGTGCATAAAAAGACACTAAATAGACTTCTTATTCTTTAATACTGAAAGAAGTTTGGAAAAATTGCTTATCGCTTTGGTATTTCTCTGCTTGAGCAAAAAACCCAAAGCTAATTGCAAAAAATATACAATTTTCTTCCAGTTTTGCATGACCTGATATAATGTTGTACTGGTTCAGCTGGGAGCGCTGGAGTTTTCTGAAAACCCTATTGGTTAACGGGATGAAAAAATTGCATTTGACCAGAAAAGGAGAAGCATTAATAACTTTCCACAAGTCTGTTTTCAAATTGTTGGGCCATTTTCTCCAGGAAAAACAAAGTATTAAATCACTGAAATCCCACTGCTGCTCGGGGACGGCAGTGCCGTCCGAGAGCACGAGGATGCTGCTGGGTCGTGTTGGTGCAGGCCTGCATCTAACGTGGCGTAACACCCACGTGGTGGCAGCCAAGTGATAACGATGGCCTTGCTCTTTGCTGAGAAAACCCTAAAATTTCTGTGTGGAGACACAATACGCCGCTTCCTCCAAAGCACACCAGGTTCTGCATTTATGTGCCTCGGACTTGAGCTTAGCGTGGTCGCCCATGGGCAGTGTTGTTGACGAGCTTCTTGGCTTTACCTGCGTGGGTGGGGATAATCCAGGTGATGGACCTGGAGCTGGTTGGGATGAGGGGCCGCAGAGGCTTTCCGGGGTGCTCTGGCTCTGTCCGGCCCGGCAGTTGTGTTGACTGGAAAGCTGCCTCCTTCCACTTAAGCTTCTGTGTTGCGAAAGGGGATAAACACAGAGACGTACACCCCGCTAGGTTGTAAACCTGTGTTTATTTTCTTTTTAAGTGGGGTTTTCTGCTAGGTGAAAGCCGTGAGAGTAAGCCAGGTACAAACGCAGTGTTTTTCAATTTTACCAGCTTTGTTGCCATGACAAGTTGTTTTAAGTGATGCCAAACTTAATGCATGAAGTAGCTGCCAGGCGAGATTTTTTTTTTCAGTAATCATGAAATGTTACATGATTTCTCAACACTATTACTGTGGTTATGACTGTTGTCTCTAAGCACTGCTCAGCCTACAGCTCCTCTCCAGACCGGTGCCATCCATCCCATATTGCCCTTGAGGCGTGATGGAGGGCTCTCATGTTGGTGAGGCTGTTTCAGTTCTTCCTGTTCAGCCAAACTTACGCCTGGATTTTCTTCCTTGCTGCAGATGGGGACATCTTTTATCACTTCTGATAGCTTTAGGGCATTATCTTTCTTTCTGACTTTCTTTTTTGGACAGTGAAATGGAAAATGTGTCTCTTCCAGTCTCTCACATTGATTAATGGAGTCATTCCTCCTTGAGTTTCCAGTGAGCTTTAAATCTGTTTCTCCTTCCAGCTTATGATCACTGATTCTATATTTGGTAAGAGTCTGTCTGAAACTTTACATATTTCAGCACAGGGAGGTTGTCTGCTGTGTCCAAAGAGCACACGAAGCCCATGGGTAACACGGGGTGGGTCTGGGGGGACGATCAGCGCTGTCACTGGGCTGAGTTGTGTCTTTAGGGTTTCAAGCAGTGTCCTGACCCACAATAAATACTTGTATTGTAGCTCTGACCATTAACGTTGCCGAAATACAGGCACGCAGCGTGTTTTTTCTCAGCCTGAACCTCTTAGCAATGCAGCCTTCGCACGGGGCTCGGGGATGCCTCGCTGCGATGCTTCATTACCGTCAGACACAACACACTAAATATTAAATGAGAGGCGCTGCTGTCGTCTTGGTATGACAGCGCGCTGATTTGCTTCATCTCCTCTCGCTTCCCCAGCAGCTCCTGGGTAATCTTAGAGACACTTCAGGTATCTCTAGAGCAACCAAAATCCTTATTCATCATGGAGATCCTCAAGAGCAGCGCGTTAGGAGGAGAGATACCCTTATCAGCGTGCCTTCCCTTGCCCTGTACAACGTTAGGGCACGGGCTGTAGGATGAAAGCCGCTGATCATAAGACTGTACGGCGTGCCTATGTATTTATTATCACTCAAGTGATAACGCAGGAGGGCTGAGGGCAATATTTTTCCCGCGTGCTGCAGTTAAATTTCTGTTTTAATTTCTCCCCTTCTTTGCAGTCCTACTGCTCGGACCCGAGCCTGGTGTTAGACTTGAAGAACCTCATTGTCCTCTTTGCAGATACACTCCAGGTACGCGGCTGTCAGCGACCGCTCTTTATCTCGCTGAATGGTTGTGCTGCTTGCACATGGTGTCCGCCAGCGGGGTTAAATGGCTGACGTGAGCTTGCTGCGGTGGCCCAGCTTCTTTTTTGGCATTGCGGTACATGAATTGTGGCGCCCGACGGACAGCCTGGTTTGCTCTGCGCGTGGGCAAGGACCAAGCCTTGGCCACCTTGCCAAGCCCTTGTGCCTCCTGCCTGCACCCAGCCCAGCCTTTAATAGCCCTTGGTGTTACCACCTTGGTAGATCACTGCCGAAATCCCTCCACCGGCACCGTTCACCTCTGTGGTGGTGGTAGGGGAGGATTTGCCCGTGTGCTCCCTATTAAATAGAGAAAATAATCTTCAGCTGCCTGTTGGTGACTTTTTCTTATCTGAGGTTGCTCTCTTGCCCCACCCCACCGCAGGGATACGGCTTCCCAGTGAACCAGCTCTTTGACATGCTGTTGGAGATCCAAGACCAGTATAGTGAAACCCTGCTGAAGAAATGGTCAGGAGTTTTCAGGTAAGAAGCTCTTCAAGCAAACTCATGAGATGTACCTTCCAGAGTAGTTTGGACCCATAAATAAAATCTTTTGAGAGGTTAGTAGCAAGCTCATGTTTAAATTTTGGGCAACAGTAAGCTTCAGCCTGAGCTCTCTTTGGGACAGGGAGAGCCAACTTAAATACAGTTGTGAGGATCCTGTGTGTGGTGAGATCTGTGCAATAAATCGGTGTAGAGCCGAGCTCTTACATCCCAGAGGGATAAAGTTATGGTTTCATTATGGAGCTCACTTTGACAGTTAATAGGTAGAAGGATGCAAAAATCTGGTGTTGCAGTAGCGTTACTGTGCCCTCGCTCCAGCACTGAGCCACGTGTGTCTCGGGACAGCAGCGGCATATCCCAGTGCTGCTGCTGTAGGCACGTCCGTGAGCTGAGCGGTTGCCCGCAGGTAGGGCACGATGTATTATCCAGGGTCCCACGTTGTGCTCGGGAGCCACCAGCTCATCCTGTGGTGGTCCTCCAGGACATCCCAGGAGGACTGAGGTATCTCAGAGCATGGGGCATTGGGAAGAGGTGCTGGAGGATTGTCAATGCCCTGGTAGCTCAGCCTCCATCTTCCTCGAGTCAGGCAGGAGTGAAGCTCACTTCCTTGATTCAAGGCCTGCTGCTGAAGCTCCAGTCTGGAGTAAAAGCACCGCTGAACTCTGGTCATGGCTGTACGCACAATGAAGGCTGGAAGCTGGAAGAGATCCTTGTGTCCAGCTGCAGCAGCGATGATTTCAACAGTCACAAATGCGGGAAGAAGTTTAGGCCCATGGGATCACATCTTTGACTGGCACCCACTTCTTAAGAGCTTCCCAGCTGAGCAGTAAATCTCCAAAGTTGTGCTTGGTCTTTCGTCACAGAGCTGTCTTTCTAACTTTTCTTTTCTTTTCATAGAAATATACTTGATTCAGATAACTACAGTCCCATCCCAGTGATGAATGAAGAGGTTTATAAGAAAATAGTTGGACAGTTCCCATTCCAGGATGCAGAACTTGAAAAGGTAATCCTGAAAGGGGGAAAGTGGCACGGCATGTCTGCTGGTGCAGGAAAACCCCGCACCCTTGTTAGTGGCATTGAGAACTGCAAATGAAAGTGTCAAAAAAACCCCAACCCCAACCCCAAAACCCCAAACCAAATAAACAACAGAAAAAAACCAGAACAAGGGAAAAGAACAAATATACTTTCCATGTGAGGCACTTCTCCAGGTGTGGATGAGGAAAGTGCGTATAGCAAACGCGAAAGTGCGTATAGAAAATTTTGTTGTCAGATCACAGTGTGCTGTCGCAGCGGAACAGTGCTTGCAGTAGACAAGAGACTAGAAATACCTGCTTCCACTGGTATTTTATTCCCATTTTATGAACTGTGTTATTGACCTTTATTTGTTTTAATTCATATTTTTTAAAAAAGTGCCCAACAAAGTGGTGTATCTTGGCTTTTGTAAAAGTGTGTGCTTGCAAAACCTAAGTGTAGCCAAATTTGACCTAGCCAGTGTCCCTTAAAAGCCTTCTTGGCCTTCTGCTCCACATCTGGCAGCCAGAGAGCTCCAAGCCTGGTGAACTTAATTAGGACTGGGAGGGTTTTTGATCCAAGTCAAGTGTTTAGATTTCAGAAAGTCTGCATCCTTCCCCAAAACTTTATCATGGGGTCCAGTTTCTTACTATTATGCTCTGCACCTCCCAGCCATGTGTGTGCTATGGGTAAAAGCTGGTTGGAAAAATTTGGTAGAGGACATCTGTTTCCTCTTGGCTTTTGGTGTTGTAAGCAAGTGCTCACCTTGGGCAGCAACTGTGGGAGGTGACTGAGCAAAACACCTTGTGCATGGTGGGAGATAAAAGTCAAGAAGTTCTCCAACGGGTTTTTTTCATATGAGTTAGGGAGTTGGGAGAGGGAATGAGGGTCGTGTTGTGCTGCCTGCTCCCTCCTAGCTGCAAGTTTCCTTCCAGCCCGTTTCGGACTCCAAATCCCTTACGCACCCATGTGCCATTTGTAAGTGATTATCTGGTCTTTCACTTGGCTGAAATGTTTATATAATATACAATAAATGCTGGCTTGTTGTTTCATTGCTGGACTTAGCTAACTACTAGAATTAATTTGACTGCTTGGAACATGTTGCTGGAAAGCAGTCGTCACTCCCGTTTGTTAAATATCTGCTCTTCGACTTGAATTCTGTATTTTACAGCAACCGTTTCCAAAGAAGTTCCCCTTTTCTGAGTTTGTGCCTAAAGTTTACAATCAGATTAAGGAATTCATCTACGCCTGTCTGAAGTTTTCGGAAGACCTTCATCTGAGGTAGGGGATGAGTGTGCTAATAGCTGCAATTCGGAGGTTTTGTCTGCACTGAAAGATCTCAATGGGATTAAAATACGAATTGCCTTCCTTAACCCTTCATGCTGCTCAGCTGCTTGGATACGAGTTGCTGGAGCATGTCCAGAGAAGGGCAGCGGAGCTGGGGCAGGGTCTGGAGCACAGGGCTGGTGGGGAGCGGCTGAGGGAGCTGGGGGTGTTCAGCCTGGAGAAGAGGAGGCTGAGGGGAGACCTGATCGCTCTGCAGCTCCTGGCAGGAGGGGGCAGGGAGGGGGAGTCGGTCTCTTCTCCCAAGTAGTTAGTGATAGGACAAAATGTCCTCAAGCTGCGTCAGGGGAGGTTTAGATTGGATATTAGGAGGAATTTCATTACTGGAAGAGTGGTCAAGCATTGGACCAGGCTGCCCAGAGAGGTGGGGGAGTCCCCATCCCTGGAAGGGTTCAACAAATGGGCAGAGGTGGCACTTGGGGACATGGTTTAGTGGGCATGGGGGTGTTGGGTTGATGGTTGGACTGATGATCTTAGAGGTCCTTTCCAACCTTAATGATTCCTAGTTTTACTTTCATTTAAAAATAATCCAGCCACCAAGCCAGGACACATGAAATTAATTCTTACTCTCCCCTTAATTGGTTTAGTGGTGGACTTGGTAGTGTTAGGTTAACAGTTGGACTGGATGATCTTAAAGGTCTTTTCCAACCTAAACGATTCTATGAGTCAATGATTCTGTGCTATACCCTGTCCAGGCTGGAGGTGGCTGGTGGTCTCCTTGGAGTGGTAACACCCTTGATGCACAAAGGGCTGGCCAAGTCTTCAAAAAC